TAATCAGCCATGCTCTCTGACACTGATTACACAGATTGTTTTCCCTCTTAAAGGCTTTCAGATGGCCACATTCTTTCCCATTGCAAACCCTTTGTTCTGCTAAGTCCAGCCTTTAGCTCCTGCATACCTGCTAATGATGCTGCCTTTAATAAAGCTGCATGGGGCAAGAACGTCTAGGGCTGATTTAAAGCATGTTTGCTTGTTTTTTATTAACTGGTATGTATGTGTATGTACTGTTCGAATGACACATGACCTCAGTGAATTTGGGAAGGAATTAGGAATTAGATTTGTGTGCCGACTGCTTAACCTAATATTTGCGTGCTGTCTGGCTGCGCTCTTTATTCCAAAAGGGAGCCATTACTTACCTGTTGCTCTTCTCTTCTGTGACAGATATTAATGAGTGCCAGTCCTCTCCATGTGCCTTTGGCTCCACCTGTGTGGATGAGATAAATGGATATCGCTGCCTTTGTCCACCAGACAGGACTGGTCACCACTGCCAAGAAGGTACGAGTCTTCACAAGATGATAAATGTGGAGGTTATCGACATAACAAACACACCATCTGTGATATATTTCTAATGTTGTGGTTGTATTTAACACAGTGACAAGAAAACCATGCTCTGTTAATGGACACGTCATGCCTGACGGAGTCAAATGGGACGAGGACTGCAACACTTGCCACTGTTCCAATGGGAAAGTTGTGTGCACAAAGGTATGTCTAAACAAACTAACTCTGCTTTATACACTGAAAGTGACGCAAGGTGAAGTATTTACGATGGCTCTGTACAGCTGTGAAGCACATGATGTCATTTTTGGGAGTGGGAAAAGGCCTCCGGAGAACAACTGTGCAATAAATAGTTATAGACTCAAAGGTTCCATGGGTGGGTAAACGACACGGTCTTCAAAGATCTCAGGTAGGGCCATGTTGGACCACAAGAAGACTCCCACACACAGGGCAGAGTTGATTTGGGAGTGTCAAATTCCATATAGATGATGCAGTCTGTTTCGAAAAGAAACACAATGGCACTGTTAGAAACAGGTGTCAGATGCCAATTCAGAATCTCCCGAAGTTACACTGGGTGAAGATGGGTTGATGTACAGTGGAGGCCTGAAGTAGTGCTATCATTATCATGCCCGTCTAACCACCAGGGGAACAATGGTGCCTCACTGATACTGCTCCCCTCGGGTAGAAAATGCATCATGGGGTGAAAATTATCCGGCGTTGTAAGGTGCAGGCTACCATGTTAAACACGGTCTGATATGGGAACACAATTATATGTGGGTTTTACCGTACTTTTGCTGAAGCTCGCGTGTTTCATGCGGATTAAAGAAGCATACCCCCTGACATGCAGTGGAGAGAAATAAATCTATACAGAGCCACTATTATCCTTTACTGGGAAAAACCGGTGTCATTGATTCGATTTTCTAATCTGTTTACAGTCCTGTTTAGGGCTGAATCTTGTGCTACAGGCTGATTTCAGTCAGTACCTTTTTAAAATTGTCCAGACATTTGACGCCTGATTCTGGCATTTTATAATTTCATAATCTTTTTTACTTACTCTTTGATCAGTCAATCATTGTTTTGGATTTAAATGGAAGTTTTGCCAGTTTCAACTTACTTTATGTAGGCTGAGTTCTTGTGTGGCTGCTTGCCTTCAACATTTCAGAACATGTTTGTAGACTTCAAAGTAAGGTTATCAGCAAGAGTACACCCACACTAGTGAGTCTGCGAGAATGTAATTCGGCACAGCAGTGCTTTAAGCAAAATTAACGTGTTCGCATTTTTGCAGGTGTTTTGTCGTAAACAAAAGTATAGGATAAATTGAATCTGTTTATGCTATGAGGCAATTATCATTTTTCTTAAAATTATTTATTTTAATTACTTTTTTTAATATCATGCGATATAGACACAGGAGACTAGGAGTCTATAGCCATGCTAGTGGCTCTAGAGGCTGTACTTGGGTACAAGTCAGCTAATGTGCTCACAATGACATTGCTAACATGCTGATGTTTAGCGGGTTTTTTTCTTTTTCAGCTGAAGCTGGTGGGAATGGAAGGGGGAAAAGTCAGGGGATGCATCCTCTGGGAACTATATATAGGACTGCCTGGACAAAATTTCAATACATTCAGTAGTTTTTTTTAAAAAAATATTTCAGTCCGGACCAAAGCAGTGGACCAAGCGTGGCTTAAAAAGAATAATCAATCATAGTCCTGTTCATATTTGTTTAATTTAAAGAAAGGTCTGACATTATCTCAACAATGAATTCCCCCTGTCATGTTTTCTCCAGATGTGGTGTGGCCCTGCGTCATGCCACCTGGGTGCCAAAGGCCGAGGCAGGTGCCCGTCAGGACAGAGCTGCATCCCCATCAAGGAGGGCCACTGCTTTGTGAAGTCCTGCCTCGGCCTCGGCGAGTGCTGGCGCTCCAACCCTCCCCCACCTCCCACCAAATGCCACCCCAGCTCCAGTTACCAGGACAACAGCTGCGCCAACATCACCTTCACCTTCAACAAGGAGACCATGCCTCGAGTGAGTTACCTAGGATTCAAGGAAGGAGAGATTGAATTAAAGGGTTTTGGGGTCATTTTTCATGCCTCTCCTCTAGCACCACTCTTAAATGAATGGGAGCAGCAAAGTGTGAAAGATCAGGTTTTCAGAAGTGCTCAACCATCCCTCCTGGGCAGAAGGATTTCCAGTCAAAGACTCTTGAACAATTCACTCATGTATTTAAATGTGTTCCAGGAAGGAAAAAAAACGAGGGGATATTTCTCCTTTCTCTCCCTGCTTTTTGTTTACTGCATCCAAGTTTTGGTGCTCTTGAGAATCAGACATCCACGACTTTGCGACTCATGCCAATCCCCTCGACCGCAAAGCAAGATTAATTTCAGGATCATATGGATTTGAGCTAAACAGGACCACTGGCGACTCTGTCACCACACAGGATCATCACTCGCCAGTTCCCTAACAAGCATGACAGCAGATAGTGACAAGCATATGAGCCTGTGGTCTTTAATCTAAATGAGGTGGATCCCAACCAGATAGCATGTTGAACCTACTGCCAATGCAGGCCTAGCTCTTCCTTTTTCTTCTTGATTGCCCTCTATTTTTCCATGTGCATTAACATTTGCCTCATTTCTTCTTCATATCCAGAGCTTGACTGTGGAGGATGTGTGTAAGCAGCTGAGGCGCTTGTACGTTGTGAAGAATTTCTCCTTGGAGCATTCTGTGTCCATAACCTGTGACCCCTCATTCTCAGCCAGCAATGAGATCCACGTCTGCATCGTAAGTACCTCCTCCCACTCCCAGTCTGCCATATGTTTGTCTGCCTCTATTAATGCATACTCAAAGAAAAATCCCCTCTGATTTATAGCCTGCAGCATGCATTCTTAGCAGCATTAAGACGTGTTCTAATGGGATATGTGATGGATTTAGCTGTGGTTGTATTGTGTCATCAGTTGACAGCAAGTAAACACGATCAATGGCAGACAAGGTAGAACTTAAACCAACAGATTTCAAACCTCACTTTCTTCTTCCCACTTGTAGTCTACTGAGGACCACCGCTTGGACCGGAGCCCCATTAAAGAGATCACGGACAGGATAATCGACCTGGTTAGCAAACGCAACGGGAACAATAGCATTATCACCGCCATCGCAGAAGTGCGCGTGCCAAGCCCCAGCAAAACTGGTATGAACTGCCTCCACACTCTTTTTGTTGCCAGTGAAGCTTTCAAGACTTGCACACACTTGCATGTGTAGAAATGGGTGGGAGGATTTTTTTTACATTTTATTTTGGTTTCACTTCTTTTATTTTCTTCAAAAAAAACACAAAGATCTAATGAGAAAGAGCCAGGCCCTGAATGTGACAGCAATTCGAGCATTAAGATGAACGTACATGTGTGAAAAATAATTCTAACCTCCCACATAACTCGGCCCGCCCAGGTCTACCATCTCATGGCAGTTGTAATGGAGCTTAAAAAGAATTTAGGCAGCATTTCGATGGAAAAAGCAGAGCTGCTTGGCTACGTGGCTTTAGATTGGCTTGTACTGTGACAAGTAAGACTCCCACATGTGTCCACCATTCATCAACACAGTGACAGCAGACTGCCGCCACGGCCAAATAGAAGCAGACTCCCCCCCTCCGTTCAGGGCTCAGAGGTCAGGTTGCACTGGCAAAAGCACGCTAATGATTTAGTAACCTTGATGTAGTAGTATAATAAAACCTTTTGTGTATTGTTTAACTGGGACTTTTTTTTCTACATTTGTGGGGTCTCTTTGACCTGTGATTGTCTCCTTTTCTTCCATCAGACTATCTAGTGCCCCTCCTCAGCTCCATCTTCATTGTCATCTGGGTCCTCGTGCTGGTCTCCGTTTTTCTGTGGTGCATGCGCCGCCGGCGGAAACAGAGCAACCACAACGGAACGGCGGCCACCGGCTCCGAGGACAACACAACGAACAACGTGCGGGAGCAGCTTAACCAGATCAAGAACCCTATAGAGAAGCACGTGGGCCTCACGGTGGCCATCAAAGACTACGAAAACAAGAACTCCATCATTGCCAAAATAAGGACAAATCATCCCGAGGGGGATGAGGACGACAAGGAGAGGCACTTACAGAAGGGCCGCTTTGCCAAACAGCCAGCATACACACTGGTGGAGAGGGACGAGAAGACGCCCATCTCCAATCCCAACCCCACATCCAAAAATCCAAATTGGACTAATAAACAGGACAACAGAGACTTGGAGACAGCAAACAGCATAAACAGGATGGACTACATTGTATAGCAGACAGCTGTGTTGCTGTGCAACCAAGCCTTATACCTTCACACCCCGGTGGTGGGTGGAACGGGGGAGCTTTGGCATGTGTAGTTAGTAAACTGTCGTGTCAGTCGTGACCCCACAGTATTTTCAGATATTCCCCGTGTTAATTTAAGTTTTGACAAGCTGGCTTACACTGGCAGTGACAGTTGCTTTGGTTGGCTGGAAACACAAGGCACTGGTATACATTTCACTGTAGAACTAGTTTGCAAAAGTGTCCTCCTCTGCATTTCATTTCCCTTTTTTTTTTTTTTTTTTTAAATTGAGTGGACACATAGAAGGGGCTCCTGATGTAATTGTTGTACAATGACTAAAACTACCCGACGTGTTCAACACTAGAGCTAATTATTTTTAGTACGTGTTTGAATTCTTTCTAGTTCTGTTTGGAGAAAGTGCCTTTTCCGCTTTAGACTTCAGCAACTGTCAAATGAGAAAAAAAAAGATCAACTTTATTATTTATTTTTATTTTGGGGGGGCTGGGGGAGGGGGAGGGAAGGGTTCAATGTCAGCAGTTGCTGCCAATATGAAGAATTTATGTGTCGATTTAGAACATGTAGATATGTACATTTTTTTATTAATCATTGTGTATATTTGATTTATTAACTTAATAATCAAGAGCCTTAAGATATCATTCCTTTTTATTTATATGTTCTGTCTAGTTTGAAGGTTTTGATAGCTGTGGAAGCCTACCATTTCTTTCAATGACTTAATTTTTTTTTTCAACGCATTTTGTAAAAGCCAAATTTCAAAGAAGACAAAGGATAGGCACTTTTTGCCTGAAAGAAAGACTTTTTTCTTTTGTTTTTCCACACATTTGACATTTCATTATTTGTTGCCAGGACCTTGATTGAAGGCAAGTGAGGTTAGGACAACAAATGATCACGGCTGCTGCAAGGAATGGACATGGTGGCAGACATATTGCTTGCCACTAATGGATTAATACTTAAGGGAACAAAAATCCTTCAGCAGCTTCAGTTTAACCCATTGACACATTTCAAAAGGCTGTCAAAATCCACCAACTTGCAAGGCAAGTCACATCAATATGACACGCCAGAATTCCCATCTGCTTTAGTCAGCGTAATATCATAAGCTAGACCATGAGTACTTGAACAGTAGGGGGGCAATGGGAACACTGTAGAATCAGATGAAAACACTGCCTTGCTCGGCAAGAATCTGCTTTGTTTCTGTGCACATTTGTTTCTTTTTAAAAATGAGGCTCTTAAAGACAAACATGTTTTATCTCATTTGTTAACCCTTTGAGATCATGGCAACATTTTGTCCTATTTTTGACTTTGTGTTATGAACTTGAGAATTATGTGTTGATCTGGCAATATATTTTTGAAAGTCATATTTATTAAATATTTTGTATGAAAAGAGAATTAAAGTTGTCTTTGTTCTGGAGAGCGAGTGAGGAGTCTGTCTGTGATGCATCAAGCCAAACATGTCAGAGCATATGAAAGGTTTCTCATGCAGCTGGCGTGGGAACGGCTGCTGGAGAGACATCATAGACTTGAGCAAGGTCTCTGTCCAAATGTGTTTACAGCTAATTACGTTGTAGCAAGCCATCGTCGTATTAAGTCAATCCTGGAGACAAAAATATCCTCACTCCTCATGATCCTCAGACAATGTTGCCCTTGTTGGTCTGGTTTAAGAAGCAGGCTTAACTAAAACCTTTCAAACCAAGCCTGAGAAGCCTAAGTTGTAGAGTTGAGCTGATTTTAAGACTTGCTCCTCTGCAGAATCCTGTTTTGAAAGGATTAAAGCCAAAACAAGAGATTATCAACACCTCTTGAGAGTTACCTTAAACATACTGGGACTTAAAACAGTAAGGTCACTTTCACTAATCCACCATATTGTCTCCGTCTTGATAACAATCAGCTAATACTGACAGAGAATGGGAACGGGGAAGGACTGGTTTACTGGTAACATCAATGTTGTTGGACAGACTTCCACTGTCAAACTGCCATGAGCATCGGCCAGGCTTGACTGTGTGAGCAAAACAATAGCAGAGATCTACATGTTATTTCATGCTGGCTGCTTCCCGAAGTTATCAGCCTATTTGCATTTCCACAAAAATCCCCATTTTTTTTCTTAGGAAAAACAAATTTATTTATATCATAAAATGTCTTTCCAGCTAAAATAAGGCAACATCATGTTATCAAGTGGAACGTCTTGGGCTTTACACGCAGGTATGAGTGACTGTAATTGCCCCATGCTCTCTCTTGGCAAGGGCAGGAGTGACGACAGCAGCTACATTTTAACCTGTGATACTGTAGATGTCCTGCTATTTCCAAAGAAAACCACTAATATTTCAATACTGCCCATACACCCACACATTTTTGGTTCAAATTCAATAATAAAAGCTCCATAATACCCTCAAATTTAAATATACATTTCAGGTGCTTAGCAACTAAGTATTGAGCAAATTGTATATGAATGAAATCTAACTACAACAGTACATTTTTGAGAATGGGGTGATGAAATAAATCTGGAAACAGCAATCAATCACAGCAGAGCTTCAGTGGGGAAACTGGACAGTTTTCAGACACGTAGGAGCCAGTATTTCAGACTGAAAGCCATGACGTACTGCATGGCTCCTGCCTGTCTGAAATCCCCAATCTTTAACACAAAACCAAATCTAAACTCCAATTAAAGGTTTTTGACTTTCATTTGCGAGCCTCTCTTGACCACCACTACTTATGGGTGGAGGCAAAGTCTGTTTCAAGTATTTGACAAAGTGTAACTCAAACACTCATGTATCAATTGCCATAATATGTTTAGCATTTGATCTGTGTGTGTGTGTGTGTGTGTGTGTGTGTGTGTGTGTGTGCGCACTGTATATACAACACATGTGAAAAGAATAGATACTGAAGTAAAATGTGACACTGGTACAAATTCATGACATCTGAGGAGACTGCATGGGGTAAACATGTAGCCTGACACAATATCATCTCTATCTCTGTGGCGTCAGGCATCTTTACTGTAGCTTGTCTCTCCCCCTCAGGACCTCTTCAGTCGTCGTAATCTAGAGGTTCTGGGCACATTTTCACTCCCCTCCTCTTCGAGTGTGGATCTGGAACTAATAGAGGAGCCTGAGGATGCAGGCTTGACAGATAGGCCCCTCAGACTTGCGGCCAGCCTGTTTTGGTTTGTCTGTGCCGTGTTATTGCTTGTGAGGGGGAGCCTCTGGGCCCGTTTCCCTAGAGTAAGCAGCTCTACTTCCAGTGTGGTTTTCTTGCACTCGGAGACTGGGAAAGCCTTGGACTCTGCCTTGGCTTCGACTGGAGGAAGGGGCGGCAGAGGAAGAAGGTCATGCTTGGATGTTTGTGTGGAGCACTCGGTGGAGTGAGTTTGCGTTGTGGCTGGAGGTCTTCCAAGGCACGTCCTCTTGGCCCTCTGTGGGTGAGGGTCTTCCCCTACATCGCTCGACTTGCACCTCTTGCTCTTGCTGTGCTCCTCCTGACTGATTTCATGTTGGCATAAAACTACAGAGGCCCCATTTGGGTGGATGCTGTCTGGAGGGCTACTCTCAGTCTGCTGCTCCAGGGTCAGACCCTGCTTTCGAGTAGTCACAATCTGAACCACAGCTTCATTTGAGGCATTAGTGAAATGCACCTTGTGGTCTGCCTCTGGGAAGGCCTTCTGTCCAGAGCTGGTCGATATTGGGCTTGATTCTGACTCGCCAGCTGTAAGTCCCCGTGTTTGGTTCTTGAGGCAGGCTCTCTGGTCAATCCGCAGCTCCCCCGTACTGGACCCATAGCGGTCTCGCTGGACACGAGCTTGTTTGGCTCTGAAAAAGTTGAAAGGATAAGAGGATATGAACAGATACTCGAGTGTCCTCTCTGACTGGTGGGGTTGGAAAGTTCTGCATTAGATCATACTTACATCTTTTGAAGCACAGTCTTCTTTGTTTTTGTGAGGCTGTTTAAAGGCTCTTGGGTTTCTCCAGCTCTGGAAAAATATTCCGATCTGCTTTGTTCGTTCAGCTCAGTCTAGAGAGGACAAACAGAATCGGTGTAAACAAAAAATATTATTCCTGGCATTCCCTGGAAAGGTTTGGCTCTACAGCAGACTGCTGTCATTATCTGGCTTTGTTGGAAATGAAAAAACATTCACTAGACTGTTGTAAAAATGATCATCTAATGAATACAATTAAAACACAAAATGATCCAATATGATAAACAAATAAACCTTATAGAAATACATCCTTGTCTTATTCTCCTGAATTCCAAATAGTGTTATTGCCTCACTCTTTGAACTATGATACAGTACAAGAAGAATGTTTCTATAATGCCTTTAGAGAAACTTAGTAACCCCAACTGGCACAAAGAATTAGTCCCCCACTTAAAACTGTCCAAACCAACCGCCTCAAAGGCTTCAGAAAATAATCACCGGTTTGTCATAATGTGACGTGTATTCATAGTCTCCTCTAAGGCTTGGAGTGATGCTTGCAGCCGGAGGCAGAATTACTAAACGGCAAAACCATGTTGACAAGTTAAAACAGCGATTAAAGAATGATCAATAATAAGGTGGCAAGGCAGAGGAAAAACACAACCAAGCATGTGGATGGAAAAATGCAAAAATGGGGCGAAGGCATCTCAGAGGACAGAGGATAAGATAAAAATAAGTTAGTGGAAATAGCCTAATGGTTAGACTGTAGAGGCACTTTCACTGGTTTAAATGCAGACAGTCTCTCTTCACTCTCAAGGAAACTGTATGGTTTCATGTATGAGTACTTATTCAAATCTTTACTCTATATGCCACTATACAACTAAGCTTTTGTAAAAAGCACATTCTTAGTTGGCTAAAGTGGTTAACTATGGGTTGAAAGTTCAATACCCACATTCTAAGGGGAACCTCTGAGGCAGAACAAGGAACGGGCCAAAGATTGGATCTCACCAACATGTGCCCTCAACAGGCCACTAATGAAGGTTGTTCACAGGTCTTTTCCTTGGCTGACCTCGAACAGACTCTGGATTTATGAGAGAACAAGAGAAGCTGGTGGTAAATTGAGCAGAACTTAAGGGTTGAGAGCCTGTCAATTTATCATTAATTAATTGCATTGAAAAAGTTGGTGGGAGAATATCAGAGTAGCTCCGGCATGAAGCTCTTAATCTGTATGCTGCTTATTTTGGTTAGAGTAACATGCTGGAAACAAACAAAACTGAGAGTCTACAGTGCTTTGAGCTATGTGCATGCTAATGTGCTCACAATGTTTAGCAGGCAACGCCCCTATCTAGAGCCAGTGTTTGGTTTATCCTTTCTGGGCTACTGTAGAAACATGGCAGTACAACACGGTGTACTCCATGAAAGGCAATCCGCGGCGTCTGTAGGTTAAAACGGCGCATTGTAAGGTAACGAAAACACGATTCCTTTATTCCGGTGATGAAAACATTGTTCAGTAGCAGATCTACCATTCAGTACCTACACATTGGTATTCAATGTAGGCTAATTAGGCTGTCACTGGCCTGAGATCAGCGGGGAAGCTTCTCTGCTGATGGTGTTAGTCAGGGGTTCATAAAAGTAATTAGGATTCATCCTTTTGCCACCACAAATGCCTGTACCAAATCTCATGGCAATCCATCTAATAGATAATAGATATTTCAGCCTGCACCAAAGTGGTTGTCCAATTGACTTACTGACAGACTGACATTGACATCCATAGAACCACGCAGCTAACATGGTAAAAAAAAAACATAGATTATTGCACTGGGAAAATATACCCAGACAGAAGCTAAATTTGTTTGAGGTTGTGGCCACTATGTTTATTTAATATCAGCCATTTTCAGATCATTACTATTCCATAAACTGGTTGGTAAAATGATCAATGTGCACTCTGAGACGGGGAAAGCCAGTGTGGTGAGCTCTGGCATCCACTACTTGCTCTGAACACAGAGAAAAAATCATTAATGTCCTCTCCCACATGCCATGATACCAGTGACAACGTATGACCCGACACACAAGGGGGAAGGAGTAATTGTCCCAAGCTGCAAGGGCAAGCTGGGGCATTGTGGCTTTGCACTGGGTGTTGAGACCTAGCAACTGCGCTATGGTCTGTGGTGTGGTGGACGGAATAAAGAGGCCAGACGGAGGGAGGGGAGTGAATAAGGAGGCTGGGCAACAGGGAAGTAGGCGGAGATGACAAGAAACAAGGGACAAGATACTACAGAATGAATACAAGAAAGGGAGAGCGTTTAGAGGGGAGGGCAACAAAAGAAGAGGCACCCCCCAGAGTAATATCGGCTGACCTCAACAGTCTCTCCAGCATGCCCACAAACACAAGAATCCTCACACAGGAAGTTCTCCACAGGCTGCCCTTTGTGTAGAGATGGAGTCATATTAGAGTGTGGGCAGAGGTTCAGTCTTTACTCTCTCTCATATCCAGAGCTACGACTAGCCTTGGATTTGGATTTGAGACAGTGACACATACAAACTTGCATTTGCCTACGCACTCACACACCCACCCCAACAACAACAATTCTGAGAAAGATGTGGGTGCCATCATTTGCATTGTAATGCCTTGATATGTATTCTCAACTGTTTAATATGAATAAGTGCCGTTTGAAAATGAACTTGAAAGAAAAATCAACAAGAAGCCAATGTGAGGTTCTCTGGGAAAGTTTAGTGCCTTTCTGTTCCTGTCGGCAAGACTTCAAAAGAGCGACAGAGAGAAGAGTGAAAGAACAGAGTGATGGAAAGGAAGAAGCATGAAGAGAGGAAGAGATTGGATATACATAGCAAGTAGAAGCAGAAAGACAGAAAAGTCAGACAGAGAAAAAGATGGTGCATGAATTATTATCACCAGGGGTCCAGGGGTTGGACATTCTGTATATAGCAACTAGAGAAGAAAGTAGAGGGATAAAAGATGGAGAGGGGGAGATAAAGAGAGAAAGAGAGAGCGTGAGATGGTGCATGAACAACATAAGAATTATCACAAGCTATGTGGATAAAACAGTAAGTATTGTGTGGGAACTGAGGTGGCCTAATCTTGTACGGAATGATGCAAACTCTCAATAGCTGGAGAGTGTCCCATGAAACAGGAGGGAGGGACGGTGGTAAATAAGAAATTTCTACCCGCCGCCGCCGCCGCCACCACCACCACCTCTCCCTCTGCAACAAGGATTTAACCCCCCCGCCGCCAACCAGTCTGTTCGCCCCCACACAAAGCTGCAAAACACTTCTCGTGATGCAACACGTAGAGTAGACCAACAGTGCCCTCCCCGGCCCCGGAGCCTCCAAAACAACATGGCTCCACCACGGGAGCTGCAACACGACAGCACATCTGGATGTCAGATTACAGAGATAAGCCTGGCAAAAGGGCAAGGAGAGCAGAGAGTATGAATCATTTGATTTAAAAGGATACTAGTACAGATTCTCATAGCTGGCCCCAACTCTGGATGACTCCTGGAAACAACTTCAAAAAGATAACCAACGACAGGCTCCATAAAATACAGGGAAAGAACAGTTTCTCCTCTGCCATATAAGATAAGGTAGAAACACAGATAGTAAGATTATGTTGGATCTTTTAATGCAGCTGCACTTGAAAGCAATACACTGATACGACCAAATAGCGCACGAGAAGTCTAAAATACTCCACGGCTACACAGGATGATAAAACCTCTATTGGTAGCCGAAGACATTCCTCATTTAGTATGCGCTATGTTGACATACAGTAGACGTTTGCTCTACATAATCTACATAAATGTCATGGTCATTCATCTGTACAATACAATAACAATTTTCCTGGGTAAAAACATTCAGGAACCAAGAATAACAGGCTTTTTTGCATCTTGATGACCGTGCATTTTTTTCAGTTTATCCAATGGGTTTTGCAAGGATTTTTAAAGAGGTTAGAGACCTTTCTCAACCCATAATAGAGGCATTGCAAACTTCAGTTGAAGTGAAAATTACCAGAAAAAAACCCCAAGATGACAAGCCAGAAAACAGGCGAGCATGGAAAGCTCCGATCAACCATCAACTCATATTTGCTTGTGATCTGCCACAGTCAAAGGCAGATTGTTTGTTCTTGGATTACTATGTCTATGTACCTCACCTAACACACACAAAACCAGTGAGATGTCATCCCTATAAAGCAAGTTACTCACTCATCTGTCACAAAATAATTATTCATACCACTTGAAATGCTTGAATCCCTGAAAGTATTCGAGTTATAAAAATGGAATTATTCTTTCCACTCAAAAGCCTTTGAACAGCTTTGTGATGGTACAACTAAGTATACACAATCCTTAAACTGGCACCAAGGAACAACAACACTATTTAACTGTCAGGGCAGAAATACCTCCTGCAGAGATGTTCGTGAAACTAACTAACAAATTCCACCCCCCCTCCCTCTACCCACCCTGCTCCCACAGAGGAAACATGCCCTGTTTGTCTAAGCTCACCACATCTTCCCTGCAACAAAGTCAACAAACATGCTTGGGCACATACTTTTCTAAAATAGAGGACAGTTCTTATCCCTGAACAATGGCAAAGGTTTTTGGATCCACCCATGTGTAAGGATTAAGACAAGCTGTTAACAGTTTGGACTTTGTGTAAATCAATGAAAGCAGCTTAACACGGGATGAAATGAAGGGACACGATCATGTACTAGAAGTCATATAGTCATATATTTGGCCTTGGTGGAGAGGAGATCAGCAGACACTGGACGCTTGGGAAAGCACTGCTGCTAGCTGTTGCGAGCTGTGAAGAACAGAGGCGCGCTGAGGTCATGAGTAAACACACAGGCTCGTCCAGAGCTCTGAAGAGGGGGGGGGACTGGAAACACATCTGCTCTGCCTTTGATCCAAACTTCTGCGGCCCAGCACGCCACTCACCTCAGCTGCCCACTCTGTGTCTGACTACAAAACAACGGCCACAATCCTAAACACTAGCTCTTCCTTCCCATGCTGCCCTCCTCACTGTTGGTGCTGACTCACAATAGGAGCGATTTTTTTTTATTATGAGGGACTTGAATCTTCAAATGTCAAGGGAAAAAAATAACATTGTCTAAGAGATGCCTTTTGTTTGTTTCCCACGGTCTCATGCAAACGTTTCGATGGCCCTACCTTTGCAGAGCAACAGTCAGTTCTAGGTTTCTGGGTTGTAACAGGCAGAGTAGACCAGGTATCAGGTATATCAGATATTCGTCTCTCTATAGATCAAATATCAGTAAGTTAATGTCCTCCTCACATGTGGCAGATTAATTTTACTCAGCCACTTAAGACGTGACATTCATGACAGTAAAGGTGTCAGTATGCTCAAACCAAAGCACTCCTCCATTTGTTTCCAATGACAAAATCAGGGATTGAATCCAACAATTTCTGTAACCTTCTGAAAACTTCAGTGTGTGGAGGAGAGAAACTAAACTTATCTTTTAATTGTTTACACACTATTTCTTTCACTTTTTCGTGTGTACAACCTCGTATACATAATGAATGCCTTGAAAAAACTGAGAACCATGCCAGGCTTTTTACCCTGATTTTGAGTGTGGCTATTTGGCACAGCTGTAAACACTTTTGCCTTTCGACCTGGTTGGACGGCATAATACACAGAATGGTTTGTTTCGAACACTATTTCAAGCTTTAGTCGCATGCCACCATACCGGTGTATAGCCGAAACAACTGCTGTAACTGCTGTTTCGTACTAATGCAATAGAATATTTGAGAAATATCTATTTTAACACTTAAATACTTTGAGTATTTTATGGTATTTATAGATTTTTTTTAAATATTATGTAAAATAAAACAATATTTTCTTTTGAAACGGAAGCAGTTTTAAAGTTGTTAGCATATCTTTTTTATTTTTAAGTTCTGTTGCAGCTTGCACAATAAAAATTGTTTACATTCTGACTCCTTTATATAATGTACCATTTTGTGGTGCCTATGACATGATAACATTAAAATGTTTTTATATTCCCTGTACTCCTGACAGTAGAATAAGCCAATATAAACCTATAAAGGCTTAGTCATGCAAAAAATAAATACATAAGTACCGTGAAACTGCCAGAATGTAAAAAAATGCCATGCTACAAATCTTTGGTCATACTGCCCACCACTAGGGGTTAAAGAGTTACCAAGTTCCATATTCACTGGCTTATTTGCTGCTAGATGCTCCAATACGTTGACCAGCTAGTCACTAAATTAGTCTGCTGTTGGTGTGGGGCAGGTAGTGTACAGTGGGTTTTGTTGGACATTGCGCTGATGAGAGCTATAAGACTGAACCAAAACAGTGAAGCTGTGGCTGTAAAACCAAAACAACGTGCTGAAAGACACCTCACAGACCAACACTTTAAGATAAGGGAAACTGTAGAGTTGGCTGACAATTCTCGGTGGGTTTGTCACTATGAGCAATGCCTTTCACATCACACATAGTCATTTAATTTATTGTTGATTATCACAAAGATTATTACAACAATTTTAATTGAATGTTTATGTTAGCAATAATGTGGTAAATCAGCACTAAACATCTACAAACCATAGCCTGAGTACCAAAAATCAACAATAATTGGTATCCTAGCTCCTTCTACACTACTGGAAATGACTAAATCTCACCATCTCCTCTTCTAACTGAACCACAGCTGAAAATATGACTAATAAAAGCACACAGTATACAGGAGACATACAGCATGATCAAGTGTGGGAGAGAGATGTTGGCTTTCACAGGACAAAAGGCCAACCATGATGTCACCTTAGTTCCCTCACAACATAACCCCCTGACCTTATGAGAAGTGCTAATTTGATGAGTCTACATTTCCACTGCGGTTTAGGATTTTTGTTCAAGAAGTCACACAAACCGAATCCTAACAACAAAACCGAAACCTCCCTATATACAGGGAAACGTGGCATTTTTTTGGGACTAGCCGGGTAGTGCTGTCAAGAGTTGTGGGATAAAAGACCCCTTCATAAACATATGAGCAACTTTGACATAGAACTCCAAAGACCCCATTATTTTTAGACAGCAACATTATTATGCCTTACCTCAGTTGTGACTCACGGCATAAACTTTTTCATTTCGATTTTCGACTTTTCTTGGCAACATTTTCTTGAAAAGACTCTGACGAATTAGAACAGAGCGAGGGAGGTAAACAAATAATTGTTTTTGTCATGTGAAAAACTTTAGCCTTGCTGTCTGGTATCTTTCCCTTACAAACCACGTTCGAGGTTGAGCTAGTGAGAGCTCCACCACAAGACTCCCACCCTCCAATTCCCTCTGCTTGTACTGTATGAGCCCAGAGAACCACATCCTGAGAAGAGGAACGCAATCGACAGCAATGCCTCCTTGAACTGGAAAATTGGTTACACAATCTGAACTTTTCACTGACGACTGTGTTGCTCCACTAAAAATATTACAATCACTGCTTTCATTGGAAGCCAAACTGTGGAGAGTGCAGAGACGATTCAAAGGGAAACAATAGCAAAAAGCCCATAGAAAAACAGCAGGCCACTGATCATGGGATGTGATGGGAGAGATGTCTGTCCTTGATGTGAGTGCCAAGGTGAGAGGCTCCACCACCATTTCCCAGAATACTCTGGGGAGTTTGGGATCAAATGAGCACTGACCAAAGGATAGTTGTCTGTAATATGAATGGACAAAAAAGAACTACAGTAGTAGGTCTTATGACATGGGGAAGAATACAACATAATATACCCAGCATGGACTCTTACAGGGGAATACCCACTAAACACTACTTTATCTGAGTCCAATCAATCAAGGCACATGATATTTAACTGCAGACAATGACATTAACTAAATTCTCCCTCAAAAAGCCAAACAATGTAGGAGTAACAGAATGACAAAGAGTGTTGTTTAGTTCTCTTAAACTATTAATGTCATGCTGTATAATAGAGAATATGATATACTAAGTGTATACTAAGTGTTAGACAACATTTTCTGTCAGTATCAACATTGACTGCAGTGCCACAGTGAGCTTGGATAAACCCTGCCCGATTTTCCCAAACAGATCTTCAGTGGGAAAAAATTCTAGAAGTATCTAGACTTTCTCAAGAGCTAAAATAAACAAAATTAGTTTTGGCTATATTTTTGACTACTCATTAAGGCTGAGGTTTACAAAAATGCAATATTTGAGTTTGTGAATTGGTAGAATGTGGGAGCAGGAACGTTTTGAAGAAGAGGTGACTGTGCAGCTTTGGACCCCACCTCACTCAACCCAACCCCCTGCCATCCTCTCTTTCCCCCTTCACTTGGTCGCTGAAAATCCCTGGCAGGTTCCCTCACATAAAGAGGGATCAGCTGCATATATACATAAAGTGAGAGCACAATTTGGCAACACATCCCTATAATAACACACAGACCCATGCAGGACTTTTTGCCAGGCGACTGGAAGAGGAAATAGAGGAGTATAAACAGCACTCACCGCGGCCAGGCTCGGGTTTCCATGGTGTGCTGAGGCATCCTCTGGACAGCTCACACACACAACATAGCGTTCAGGAAACACACGCAAATCTGGAGGCAGGGAAAGAAACAACACAGACCATGCTAGTTAATAACGTGGGCTCACCTCTAATTATGAGTCAAAGTCAGACAGAGGGAATTGTGGTGGAGGTTTGAATTTACATCTACAAACACCAAGTATTTACTATCCCTCAGACCAAGGAGAAAATGGCAGTTTACAGATAATTGCTGAGCTTTATGAGCCGCGTAAGCAGCATGAAATATTAGAAAATTTTATGTTAACAATGGCCCCTGGGAGTAATATGACTGTTTCATCAGCTTCAAAGGCAAAGACCATTTACAAAAACAATACTATTGCATGTATTCTATCATGACAATAAATCCAACAGGCCTCAACACATCACCTCAACTGGACACATTGGCCTGTTAAATAGACTCCTTATGTAAAGAACTTGCAAAGTCCAAAATTTTAACTCATGAAGGTGCACATAATGAAAATTACTCATACAGTAGAAATTACTTGATGAATAAGTAACTGAACAGTGGCGTTGGCAAAATATTACAATAGTCTTCATCTTACAGTATTGATCCACGCAGCCTACCACCTCTGGTTCAAAGGTTTTACAGTAGTGTTGAATTAAGTCCGTATAAAAGCTCATATTCCTCCTCAGTGGCCATTTTTAAAAACATTGGTTATGCTTCAGTTGTGTGGATTTGTGGTTTATAAACACAGCCAATGGACACACTTTTGTTAAGCAAGCACAGAATTGGCATGTATGGCAATGTACTTGCATTAATGTACGTATATCTTGTGTGGAGTATGTAACGAGGATGACTATGTCTGTGGGCGGGTTTGGATGTTGATTGATAGCTCAAAAACTACTTGCCAGATTACCATGAAATTTGCTGTTGAAATTCTTGGCCTTTAAAGATAAATTCTCAGGCTACAACCAGGCCAAAACTTTCATTTGTACACTTAAAGAGACATAAAAATCTAACATGAAGGTTGCAATGAAATTACCTGAGCAAATTCATGCTTTCCAGAGTATGACCACTTTGGATTTTGGATACTCCACAAGCTTTACTTTTGAGCCACCCCAGCCAAGTCAAAATTGAGAGTTTAAACAAATTATATCTCATAATCTAACAAAGAGGGATTACCATGAAATTTGCTGAGAACATTTATCCACCGCATGCAATAAACCCCTTAACTTTAATGACCTCGTGGTTCAGGACAGCTCAGGACAAACTTTACAGTTTTCTCCCCAATGATAAGAACCAGAATAGAAAACAATGTTGTTTATTCATTTCAGTTTTGTGTTGTGGAGTAAAATCTAAATTAGAAAATACCACTGCATTATGATTGACTAATTATACTAACAAAGTCTCAATTACGGCCTCACTTTGGTCTTACTAATAAAACTTAAAACTTGCCATTTTGCAGTGTATAACTAGCCAATCAGAATAAAGACTTTTAACCATCTGTTTTATAGATAATTTAAATTTTTACATGACCTAACCAGTATTTACAGCTAACTCAGTGGACCGAATTATACAACCTTTGACCCCAGCAGACTGGGTCTAATTTGATGTGTAACGGACCTGCTGAGAGAAGCCGTCATTTCAGTCTGCAGCAGGTCAGTGCTGCCTTAACATCCGAGCCCCTAGGGAGCAGATATTAACTTTACTGACAGGAAGAGAGCCATGTTGGTCCCATGAAAAGGTGGCCAAGGGTCACAGGCACTAGATGGGCCATGGAGATAGATTCTCACTGCCCTCCATAGACAGCCCTCCAACCTTTCTCTCTCCCACTCTCAGTAGCCTCTCAAGGGAACCACTTAATGGCTGCCTGTTCTCAACAACACCCAGAGCAGGTAGGGACAGGACATAAAAACAAGTGAGGGGGAGAAAAATCAACATGCAGACCACAGATGACTTGCTCCTTCTGTGGGAAATTTGTCTGAGTATGAGTTATTGAGATGTCTATTTCCGATTCATTTAACTGGGAATTGATTCATTGAATGTAGGTTACATACCTCCGTAGAGCTTCTTGGCAATACATCTGAGGTTGACATGACGCTTTAGAAAATTGGCAACTAGGTTGAAGCTTTTCCCTAAAAAAAAAAACAGAAAAACATTTAAGATTAAAAAAGAGCAGAAAGACACCTAAGCAAAGATTTTGTACATCTGACCCCATTTCCAGGCCTCTAGTGCCACTAGTGGGCAACTTTTGGATGGAGCTTTCTGGATGATGTGTGCTACCATTGTTGACATTCCCTGAAATACTCATAACCTTTATTCAATTTAACGTCATGTCACAAAACAACCACTGTTGGCAATCAAATCATATTTCTGGCTTGCAAATGTTATTCAGACAGTGAGATAAAGTGGTTAATCTAAGCACAAACTTTTTTGATCCAATATATAAAGCCCTTTATGAGATAAGTGGCACTACTCCCATGACACTGCAGACGCAGTCTAGGCTCCTGAATACAGGACTACAAATCAAACTTGTGAGAATACAGCAGCTCTACTCCCGTAACACACAAAACAATGTCCATTCTTATACATTACTCTACTGTTAAGCTCTCTATGGCTCTATATTCTTAGATACCATCAATTTCCGAACCTTAATCATATACTCTGTCTAAAGGGCCAGCCCACTCATTCATGGAGTGAGAAACTATTCGGTTTTAATTTAACTGGCCTCCCAGTTTGGCACAAGCGGAGAAACCATGGCTCGGGCCTCAGCTCTATTTTTCATGGAATGTTTGTCATGGTATGTAAGATGTGCTGGGCAGAAACAGTGGCCTGTTGCCTAATCTGGCAGGAATTTGTTGACTTAAAGCAAGGCTCTGGCTAACACGCTACCCAGTTGTTCTTTGTAAACAGAACAACAATGCTGGGAAGTTGACAGAGCCTTTTGGTACTGTCTTGGTGCCCTTGTCCTCTTCTTGATACAATGACAGTAAAACTATACCCGGCTTGACTTTACCACCACCTCTCTATTGGTGTTCTCATATTGCGGTTGTCGTGTGAAAACCTCATTAACTGCTAACTGTGGGGATTTTCGTATTTTAACTTCAATTAAAGGATTACATGTCTTCCACAGTTTGAGAAAATCCTGACCTCTTGCACTCAAGGCTCTTGCAGCACTCCCTGGATAATGTCAAATATGCACTGTCATCAAGCTAAAAATGAGGCTGTCTTTATCTAGGAAAAGCTGACATTTGGAAGTGCAGAGCTTTTCACCCGTCGGCAACAACACAATCGCAGTCATTCATCATTAAAACTTGTGCAAGTCTCCCCGAAAAGTTGACCTACACCTAGGACAAAAATGTTGTGTTATCACGAACATACAACACACAGAGCACACAGCATGTCAACAGCATTGGCCCACACACAAGTAAGAGGGGGCCTTTGTGAACGTCCCCCTTTCTCTGTTAGGTGATGTCATCTCAGCAACAACTCAAACCATCTAATTATCGTCTTCAAAAAGAAGCACTCTTCTTTGGATAATGACATGCAATTACAGAGATAGTTTGCCACAAAACTGCCACAGGTACACGCTTAGGTCGACTTGCAGTGATTAATGGCACCACCTCTGCTTTCTTTTTCTCTGTGCTTGTGACAAAGTTGGCGACCAGAGTCACTACATCAGTTCAAAAATATACAAAACATATCCGTAAATGAAGGAAGGAATACAATTAATGAGACAGTCAATCAAATCTCTTTCAAACAAAACAAGCTCAATCTGTCAGCCAAGAATAAATCAAAATGAAACTAAAGTGAGAAATCACCAGGTTATTAAGGCTTTTAAAATATGGATACTTGTTTGTTACTATGGTAACAAGCAATTGCAATCAATATTTTTCTAAAGATAACAGGGTAAAACCGTTACCTAGATGACAGGCTAAAACACAGTTTAGTATCTATGGGTATCTCCAAAAGCTCTTAAGCAGAAGTTTAGCCTACAGCAAAATGTACATGTTAGATCAACGTTAAACAGCTTAGTCAAGATTTGAGAAAATATATTAAAATCTCTCACAGAGCAAAAACTAATCTCTAATCTGCACATAATACAAAGGAGATTTATCAGGAATAAACATTCATTTTGTGTGAGAATTGGCATGAAATGACAATACTTGTTTGTGCACTTACTATGCATCAGTTTGTGAGAGTTTATACGATTATCGGATAGAGCCTTATTTACATTTTAGTTTCAGAATTAAGTTATTTGTGTTCCCAAATTCCAGAATATTAACAATAAGTAAATCTATATTTAATGCTATGATTTATTGTGGTGGTATTTCCCAAGATACTTCAGGGTAGTTCATTCTCATATGAAAGAAGCTCATCTTACCACCTTTTCTTCAGTCAGTGGTTAACTCATTATTTATCATTCTAGTCATCTAATCAGGGACTGACACCAACTCACAGCATTTGTGTAGCTCTGGGGATATAAAACCGGTAGGGTTCCAGGAGCTTGAGATTGGGAAGCCCTGTCCTGCAGCATGGTAGCCAATAGATATATATATAACAGCTTTAGGTAAATGATAAATAGGGATTTATAGGGATCATTTTACATCTTGTTTTGTCAACCAAGGGCTCAGGTAACTCTATAATAAAACCCAGTCTGTAAGTATAACAATGACCAATTTTGTACTGTATTGGCTCTTTACCACATCACATTGGATTTGCAAAAAAAAATCAAGAGTTAAAAAAGAGTAAATAGTTAAAGTCCATGTTTAATTCACAATGTAGTATTGGTAAACTGTTTTATCCATAATCCAATTAAACAAATAGACATAAACTTACAAGTAAAATGTTCACATCAGCTTGGCAACTTCCCTATTGGTGTTCTTCCAGGCTTCTAATGAAGCCATGGGTAGTTTTTGGTTTCTTCGAGGGCTTTTGGGGCTTAAGTCTAATCTTCAACAAGTGAAACACGTGTTGGATTGAGGTCAGGCGATTGACATGGCCACTCAGAACAACAACAAAAATGTGTCAAATTCTCCATCTGCCGATAACATCTTACTCCCACTTATAAACAACTAAGCTGTCAATAATACATTTGTATGAATGCACTTTGCTTAATCTATCCATCTAAAAAACTAAGTGAAACAAATATTCTACTCAAGGGAGAAATACATAGCTAACAACATGACTCACTGATGTTGTGAGCTATGTACTACCACTTCTTTCTATGTAAACTTTTAGTAGTATTTTTGATTGTTCGGCACCATTCAAACATTCAAAATGAAGTTTAAATAGATTACAACTTTTTGAACCAGGAGACACAAGATTTATGAGTGTGTAAGCTATTGGAGAACCACCCTCACTGAATTGTCTTTAGAGTTGGGGTCCTTGGAAGTCTGTTCCTTTAATACCTCGTGTACATAAAGTATATAACACTTGATACGCCAACAAGCTTTAAAATGGAGTACTTCATTAATCCCAAAGGGAAATTGCATTAACACACTGTATGGTATGTTGAGCATGTTTATAGTTCACAATAGCAACATTCCTTTATTGGAAAAAATCTGATATTCTGTTTTCTTTAAATAGCAAAGCAGTGATCATCCAGGCAGGAATGCAGATCTGGATCTCTGTTTTGTTTGTTCTGCCCATTCTGGGACCATAAGGGACCAGAAAGCAAGTATCTTTCATTGCACATTCATGTCTTTATATGTTTTGAGAAGCTTTGATTTAGTTTGTTATACTCTTTAGCCTCATGTCTAGCTCTACAACTATTCCCATTGCTTTCCCTGGTGGGTTGAGCTTGCCAATTCCCAGGACAAGTTTGACAGGGACGTCTGGACACAAAGTTGGGAACCAGTGCAACGCCATAGCCTGAGACATCAGCTGTTGCTCCAACTTTATAACGTCCTGCACAGCGCAGAGTTGCTCTTGGCCCTCTGCCCGGGTTCTCTCGTGCTAAGCTTACATTCATGTTTCTCTCTCACAAACAGTTTGCTAGTGCCTCCTTTGGGAATGAGTGGCTCCTTTCTGTGGCAACTGTGGCCCACAGTGGTGCAATACCAGAATCTGAAGAACAGAGACTTTAAAGGGTTTTATTCGTACTTCCTTTAAGAGAAGATGGTCTTGCTTAATTGTTTTGAAACCCAATGCACAACAATATTATGACAGGTCAAATCAAACAGTAAACAAGCCAGCACGCCATGTTTTCAGAAATGTGGTAGATAATATTGTAACCGCTTGTATGGAGAGTCTTCTACCATCTTGTAACATACCGCAGGACAACTGCAGAAAAAAAAAAACAGACTCCACAAGGCTAGTGCCAAGGCTACAATACTGTACTTTTGAGACACACACACACACACATGCACACACACACATGCACACAGACACATGCACACAGACATCCCTGCAGCTTTCACCGCTTCCTGGGAAAACAATGAGAGGAAAGAAAAGTCAACAAACCAAAAGGCATCCAGAGTGACTAGGACTGTAAAATGGAACAGACAGGGGTGAGAGGCATTCAGACCAGGGTTAAAGGTAAGCCCCCATGGAACAGACTTCATTAACTTCAGTCATATCCTGAGGAGATCATTAAAACAGCCATAGAAAACATAGCCCACTTCTTCGCACCATCCGCATTCCTGGCAGCCCATGCTGTTGTGACTCCTGCAGGAATCCATAAGAATTTCTGCTCTGCTATGAAGGCTTTTATGAAGTTCCTAGCAGGTCCTGGACAAGCATTCGGCTAACCACAGTGGGTCCAGAGCCTTTAACAGGAATAGTTCAATGAGTGTACACTCTCAGTGAATTTACTCTGAGCTTTCTGCTCAGGTTACCCAATGTCTTTAAGGTAATCTAAAAGAAAAAACCAGGTTTCCATAATCGTAAGCAAAACTTGCAGATGTGCATGACACATTAGGAAAGTATCAGCATGGTGAAGTGGCAACAGAAGGAAGGACTGATGTAAGATGCTAACTTTTAGCTATGCATCCTTGTTTTCAAAATAGTTCAATCCAAAGCGTGACTAAAATTAAAATGCAAATAAATAAGAAATGAATAAGGCGGTTTCCATGGATGAATGGAAGATTGTGCTAAAAATTCAGGCTCATGTGCAAAATAAGGAAAGAATTAG